ACGCATTCACGCATTTAACGTATTTAACGTATTTAAAAGTACAAACCCAGGCACACACGTGTAGTACGTTCGTACTTTACCTCATGTAGTTGATATAGAAACGTGACGTCCGATTTGACTTACTTGCTGTACAAATATTTGCGTGCGATTTAACTCTTGGCACACGAGCGAAGAATAAACAGCGAATGTATGGTACGGTACGGCTCCTCGCGCACCGGAAGAAGGAGAATTAATCGTCCAGGCAATCCGTCGTGGCTCTTGGTAAATCACAAACGCGGTTTTCTCGACTGTCCTTTTCTGTTCTTTTCTATTCTTTTTTTCTCTCTCTCTCTCTTGATCGACACGCGCGTTCGTTTCTTCCTGCTTGAGGCTCGAGTTGACGGAGGATGACGTGGAAAGGCAGGGGGGAAGGCAATCGAACTGCGTCGCGTTGAAGAACGGTGGAGAGGAAGTACGTACGGTAGGAACGAGAAACGAGAAACGAGAAACGAGAAACGAAGACTATACAGTACGAATAATACGTGGTGAGAGAGGTAGACAGAGACAACTAACACGCTGGCTGGCGTCAGTGTTGCGTCTCCGCGATAGTCTTCACGGTCTGCAAGCCGTGTTTCTCGCCCTTCTCCTCGTCCCTGTCCGGATTGTCCCACGTCTGTCGTTGCCCGGAGCTGAACACAGCGTAGAACAAGGAGCACGCTGTATACACGCCGGCCGAGATCAAGAACACGATTCTCCATTTCGCTTGAGTCGGCTGAAAAGAACGGAAAGAAGGCGAGATTTTCATTGGACTTTATTGGATTTTATTGGATTTCTGAGGTTGGAGAGAGGAAACCACGACGATTTACCGATCCGACGATGATGTATCCAGCGGTGATGGGTGCCAGCAGGCCGGCCAGATTGGCCAAGCAGTTGGTGAAGGACATGAGAACGCCGGCGAATCTCGGCGAAATGTCCAGATGGTTCACTTTGAATCCGGAGTAGATGCCGCCGTTCAAACCGACGCCGATCGTAAGAATGGCGACGGTGAGCAAGGAGTTGCACTCGATGTAGGAGGCGGCGATCAGGGCGATCGCCGGGCCCAATTGACCGATGCTGTTCACCATCTTCCGCGTGTAGCCGTGAGTGAACTTGCCGCTGGAGATCATCCAGTCGGCCACGTGCGACACCACCATCGAGAATATCCACATGGCCAGGTAGGGTAGGGAGGAAACGATGCCGTTCTGAAACACACATACACATACGCACATTCACGCGAGGATTATCGCGCAGAGTAAGGAAGTAGCCGCGCGAGGATTATCGCGCGTCTTTACCGATTTGATGTCAAAGTGTAAGATTTGCTTCATGAAGGTGGGCAGCAGGGTCATCAACGTCTCGTATCCGTAGTTTTGGCCCATGTGCGCTATCAGGATAGCCCAGAACGGTAACGACCTGAGGATTGACAGCCACGGCACTGGTGGAGACTGCAAACGCGCACAGCCGCGTGGTTAGCGGTAGAAATTGCTCGAGTTTCAAGCTGACGATGAAAATATACTCACAGAGACACCGGCGTTGCCCCACAGCGCGCTCAGAATGTACTTTTTCTCGTCCTCGGCTATGCGGGGATGACTCTCCGGATCCTCATAGACCATCAGCAGGAAAGCGATACACCAGATGGTGCCGACCGCGCCGAATACGTAAAAAATGGAGGGCCAGCCACCGGCGAAGCCGTACTCGGACAGGACACCGCTCAGTGGCATCGAAATGACGGTTCCAAACTGCGCGCCTACGGATGAAGACACGAGTGACGAAGATGAAAGAAGAAAAGAGAAGAGAAGAGAAACAGAAGAGAAGAGAAGAGAAGACAGAAGAGTAGAGAAGAGAAGAGAAGAGAAGAGAAGAGAAGAGAAGAG